TTCAATAAAACTGAAGCAGTGAATGTGTGTTCTGCTTGTATGCAAGGGAAGTCTCATAAGTTGCCCTTTTGTAAATCTTTCACTCAATATAATGAGCCTTTTCAACTTGTTGTCTCTGATGTCTGGGGACCAGCTCCTGTGTGCTCCACTGAGGGATTTCTTTATTATGTTTCTTTTGTTGATGTTTGTAGTCGTTATACCTGGATGTATCTCTTGAAGCGTAAATCTGAGGTGACTCAGTGCTTTCTTGACTTTGCGAAATTGGTTGAAGTGCAGTTTGGATACAAAATTAAAGCTCTCCAAACTGATGGTGGTGGGGAATATCAACCACTTCGAAAGTGGTTCTCTGCCAATGGGGTGCAACATCGTCTCTCGTGCCCTGGCACCTCGGAGCAGAATGGTAAGGCTGAGAGGAAGCATAGACACATTGTAGAAACAGGATTGACAATGTTAGCTCAGGCTTCTTTACCTCAGAAATTTTGGAGCTATGCTTTTGCTTCTGCCGTTTATCTTATCAATAGATTGCCCACACCTGTTTACATGGGAAGTCTCCATTTGAAGCTCTGCATCATGTCTTGCCAGATTACTCTTTTCTCAGGGTGTTTGGCTGTGCTTGCTATCCTTGCTTGCGTTTGTTTAATCGACATAAGCTGGATTTCAGATCAAAGAAGTGCGTGTTTCTGGGATATAGCACTGCTCATAAGGGATATAAATGTTTGGATGACTCTGGCAGAGTAATAATTTCGAGGCATGTTGTTTTTGATGAAAGTGTATTTCCTTATGAAGTTTGTAATGTTTCAGGTGTTGCTCCAGATAATGGTGTCTCCACGGGTATTATTCCTCTTGTCTCTCCTGTACAGACACTGCAAGTCCCATCAACGTGCGTTCCACCAGTGCCTGCTCCATCAACGTGTGTTCCACCATGTGCTTCTCCATCAACACATGACTCATCAAATAGTCAAAGGCATAATGTGTATGGGGCTACACCTTTTGAAATGGTCGAGAACCAAGTGTTGGGTGAACGTGATTTTGGTAATGCGAATGAAGGCATTTTAGTTGGGTCAGGTGCGCATGGGGCTATAGCTTTTGAAAACGCGCATGGGACCACGCTGCTAAGTCGTGACAATGCGCATGCTCCAACGGCTCCACCAACACATGTCACGCCTACTCCACTAAGTGAAAGCAGTCCATGTGCTTCTCCATTAACTTCGATGCGTGGTCCTCCTTTGAATTCAACGCATGGCCCATTGAATTCAACATTTGCTCCTTTCCATACAATCAGCCCACGTGCTGCGCCTTTGTTTTCAACGCTTGGGACCACACCTTTTGCCGAGATGCCTAGTGTCGAGGGTCAAGGTTTAGATAATGTGCATGTGCGTGCTACTTGTGATAATACGCATGGAGCCACACCCAATTATAATATTGTTGGGACAGGTACTCATAATCCAAGAAATAATATTATTGGGGACATATCTTTTGCGCATGATGATGATAGCCATGGGACCGTTTTGTTTGATAATGCACCACTCGACCATGATGTTGCGCATGGGGTCACGTCTTTTGGAGCAATGGCCGACCGTGACAATGTGCGTGGGACTTCTTCAACGGGTGACAGTGCACATGAGCCTGTTCTGGTTCAAAATATACATCCTATGGTTACCAGGGCCAAAGATGGTATTTGGAAACCTCGTGTTCTGCATGTTGAATGTCTTGATGAAGAACCTCGATCAATTAGAGAGGCTATGAAGATTCCTCATTGGAAGAAAGCTGCACAAGAGGAATTTGATGCCTTGATTGCAAATAAGACGTGGTCTCTGGTCTCTCTTCCTAAAGATCGTGTACCCGTCAACTGCAAATGGATCTTTAAGGTGAAACGTAATGCTGATGGCTCGGTGTCTCGATACAAGGCTCGTCTTGTTGCGAAGGGGTTTCTCCAACAACCAGGAATTGATTATCATGAGGTGTTTAGTCCGGTTGTGAAACCTGTAACGGTCCGAGTGATTCTTACTCTTGCTTTGACAAGAGGTTGGTTGCTGCGTCAAGTGGATATTAATAATGCATTTTTAAACGGGGCATTGATGGAAGAGGTTTACATGACTCAACCTCCTGGATTTGTGCAAGCTGGTGGTAGTTTAGTTTGCAAGCTTCATAAAGCAATCTATGGCTTGAAGCAAGCTCCTCGGGCCTGGTTTGAGAGCCTTCGAGAGTATCTGGTCTCTGAAAGGTTCGGTTTATCTAAATCTGATTCTTCTTTGTTTGTTAGAAAGTCAGAAAATAGTGTTGTCTACATGCTTGTATATGTAGATGATATTATCTTGACAGGGAGTGATGCCAGTGAGGTTCAGTGTGTTATTGAAAAACTGAACACTCGTTTTGCGTTGAAGGACCTTGGTTCTCTTAATTTCTTTCTTGGTATAGAGGTGTGTCATGATGCTGATGGTGTTGTCCTGACTCAACAAAAATATATTCATGAGTTGTTGCATAAGCACGGTTTTAATGAGGCAAAGAGTCTCCCTACTCCGATGGTTTCTAATTGTAAGTTGTCAGCTGATGCTGGGGAACCTGTTGAAGATATGGCTCAATACAGGAGCATTGTTGGTGCTCTTCAGTATATTGTGGTTACTAGGCCAGACATTGCGTTTGCTGTAAACAAGGTCTGCCAGTTCATGCAGTCACCTCGTAATAGCCATTTTCAGGCTGTTAAGAGGATTTTACGTTATATTCAAGGGACGACTGACTATGGTCTTCGATTCACAGCATCTTCTCGCATGTCTCTGACTGGTTTTGCAGATGCAGACTGGGGGTCCGATCCTGATGATAGACGTTCCACGACTGGCTACTGCATTTTCTTTGGTGGGAATCTTATTTCCTGGAGCTCACGCAAGCAACAAGTTGTTTCTCGTTCCACGGCTGAAGCTGAATATAGGAGTGTTGCTGCTGCAGCTGCTGAGATTGTTTGGATTGAGTCATTGCTTCAGGAGTTGTGCGTGGTTCCACATGGTAAAGCTACCTTGTGGTGTGATAATTCCAGCACTGTTGCAGTCTGTTCCAATCCCGTTCAGCATTCTAAGTTCAAGCATGTTGAGCTTGACTTATTTTTTGTACGCGAAATGGTTGCTGATGGTCGTTTACAGGTTAATGAGGTTCCAGCCTATGAGCAGGTGGCAGATGTGTTGACAAAGCCACTGTCTTCTGCCTCATTTCTCAAGCATAGGCAAAAACTCTTGGTAACACAGCTAAGAGGGCTTCCTGCAGGTTTACAAAGTGGAATGGCAGGGGGAATATTGAAGTCAAGAAGTGCTGAAGAAGTTAATAAAGCAGGGTGAATGTTAGTGAACATGTGCTTGTGATTGTGGATATGTTGTGAGTTCTAGAATAATGTTGTTCTAGAATAGTTTGTTAGATTGTAGCAGTTAGTTTGTTGAGCTGTTAACCGTTCTTTATAGCAGCATATACTTTCCTTATTGACTGTATAAATACTGCTCTCTAATTCAAGAGAGATCAGCTTCTTGATAATAAAAAGATTACAAGATCTTTCAGTTTCTTTCTTGTTTTCATAGATAGTTAAACTGCTATCTTATCATTATGGTGGGTGTTATTGTTTTCGCTAGTGTTGTTGGTTGTATCCTTATTTTGGACTGTGTGCGTAATTCTGGCTGTCTTTGTTGTCCATAAGTTTGACGATGGTAAGGAACACTAATTTTTTAATGCGACCTTTAACGTTATTTCGTTTTGTATGTGTCTTCTGTTAATACCATATAAAATCCCTTTAGAAAAATGTTGAAGGGATAAAATTATTAGGGTGCGTTTGGTTCACGGAATGCAGTGGGAATAAAAAATTATCAGGGAATAGGATTACTGGGAATGTTGTATTTTGTATTTGGTTGGTTTAGCAGGAATGTAAGATTACCGTGTTTGGTTAAATGAATAAAATATTATTGAATGTATATTTACCAAATTGTCCTTATTATATATTTGTATAATATTAAAAATTGTAAAATATTATTTTCTTTAAAAAATTAAATTCATAATATTTATATTTTTTTTTTTACAAAATTTAAAATATAAAAAAGGACATGTGATACTCTTCTTTCCTGTTCTCTTTGATTTATTTTTGCAGGTATGTAGGATGGCAGGGCAATTTGCAAAGCCAAGGTCAGACCCATTTCAGATTAAAGACGGAGTTAAGTTACCGAGTTATCGAGGAGATAATGTGAATGGCGATGCTTTTGATGAGAAATCTAGAGTGCCTGACCCTCAAAGATTGATTAGAGCTTATCATCAATCTGTTGGTAAAATACATGTACTGCATTGAAGATTTCATCATTGATCCCATGTGACACACTGTCCTAATTTAGCGGCAAACGTGCAAGACACTTGTGAATACACGTATTGCAGTGAAGATTTCAACATTGATCCCATATGTACACACTCGTATTATAATTATTTATAATATTATTAAAATTATCTATAATATTAATTATTAGTCAGTTTTTTATTCGTTTGTGTGATTATAAAGTAGTATATATTCGAAAGACACATAAATTATTTGAAAATAAACGTTCAAACATCTCTACAAATATCGTACTCGAACATATAACCTCTAGAAATAACAAATATAACTTAACAACTATTTAACAAATGTGTATATAAAAAAACTCAACTGACTAAAATACAAACACTTAAAAAATTGAGTAACTAAGAATACAGTTTAGGTTATAATAAAAATTGACCTAAGAATCGAAATGGAAAAATGTAGGCGTAATATATTTAGTAACTATCAGCCTATACGGATACGATATTAATTGGAAGTATGCGTTAGGTGTACTTGGATGCAACTCTCGAACAGAATTCCATGCCTGTTTTTTACTTTTAAATTTTTTATGCATACTCCTTGCCCTATTTAATCTCTGCCTCTGTCTACCAATTGCCATGGGGAAAAATAGAGTGGAGGTACACAGTAAGGATTACGTACACCCCCACCATCTCCCTTGTTGGACATGGAAGAGCTCAAGGACTGGTCATTTTACAGAGATGTCCATGCCGAGTTTGTTGCTACTCTTTTATTCCTTCACGTATTAATTGCCACTGTTATTGTATACAAAAGGCAAACAAGTCCCTGTGATGGTGTTGGTCCCCTCGGCGGCATCATCTTTGTTCTCGTCTACTGCACCGCCGGAATATCTGGTAACCTCAAAACATTATGTTAATTAACTCAAACAATTGCTTGGTTACATTGCTATTCTTCTCATCTTATATAATGAACAACGTTGGTTACTTTGATCGTTGTTAAACAGGTGGTCCCATTAATCCGGCAGTAATGATGGGGTTGTTTGTGGCGACGAAGGTTCCATTGGTTCGAGCCGTGGCCTACATGGTGGCTCAGTGTTTGAGAGTTATCTTGGTGTAGCCTTTTTCATTTTTAATGACAAAAAGGCAAGAAATCACACAATGTATTATCATAATGACAAATTGGAGCTGCTGTGGTTTTATTAGCAACATAAGCATTTTTTGGTTCTTTCCCTCAAAAAATGATTTCACCTGCTCCATTGTGTATGTTCCAAATTTGTCACATTTTCATCAAGCATTTCAACTCTGTTTTATCATAATGAACACAACGTAATCGAACTCCTTTCTGCACAAATGCAACAATGTTTCGAGTTCTTTCATCAATAATAGAACAAAGCTTTTCACAAATCATGTTTCAACCTAGAATTTGGACCATCAACAACTTTATATCGATAATAGATAAAGAAAAGAACAGATTCTCTTCCTCAGCAGCTTTGAAATGTAAAATATAAGAAAAATAAAAGTGGTAACTAGTACACACATGATATAGATATTGAATTAGCGTCAGTGTTTTAACATGTTTTTAAGCTTCTCTCTAATAGTTTGTAGAGTTCCATCTATTGTAGTGTCAAATGCATCCTTTTTGGTTCTCAATCCCAGTGAACTACCATGCCTTCTATATAGGGATCAACTCCACAATAGATTCTCTCATCTTCCTCACCTCACTCCTTGGAATCACCATTAACACATCCAAAATCTTCAACCTTTTAAAAACCACTTCCTCCTTGGGTATAAACACCGAGAACTCGGGATACTTGTCCTCCGGTAAATGCCATTGGTACTGCATTTTCGCAGATAATTCTTCGAAGAAAACAGGTATACAACCCGCGGTGATTGCATCAAAAGTTAATCTCCTAGTTGGAGTATCCCCTGGAGGCTGCAAACAAAAGGTTGCTTGTAACATAGGCTTCATGCATCTTATGGGATCATGCTCACATATCCCATTGGAGCAATCCACTATATCACATATTTTCGAGTAAATTCAATAACTTTCACTAGAGTTGGTGGTGTTCCTACTCATGCTACTGTTGCCATTATCACACTCTTTCCTTATACTCCTCCTGATATTCGGGGTGGCACCGATTCCTCCGCCGCCAGCGAAAATAATCAAAGAAGTCCTCCTGGACCTCTTCACGCGTTGAACCCAAGCCTTGAAGCAAGCCAAATTAGGAGGATGAAACGATGTGGGATAAGGCACAGCATGCACCTGCCAAGGCCAAGCTCTTCCATCGGGAAGCAAGATCGTGACATTGTAAAACTCGGGCAATTCGAGGAATGAAGTGCCCCATATAGGAGGATCATTAACTAACGGCTGAGAGAAATCCCAAGCAGGCCTAGTCATAACCAAGAAATATACGCTTTTTCCATATCTCGGGCGCATCTGACTGCAAAAACTCGAACAAATCCATCCTATGTTGGAAGCTAGAATTCACATCAGGGCCATACAAATACCTCAGCGAATCGACGGCGGCGTACTAAGGGAGAAAGACGGCGTCATGGTTTAGGCCAAGTAAGGACAAAAGTCATCGAACAGTGGATATTCGGAACAATTTCTGAGTAGATCGAGATTGAAGCTTGATGGGAGGGTCCTGATGTAGATCCAACGGTTGTTACAATCTTCTGTTGTTGTTGGGTTTTTGATTTGTTGGGAAGAAACTAAATTGATGAGGAATAGAAGGATGAAATGGGTCAAATAGGCCATGTAAAAACACATAAGATGGAAAAAGATTGAAAGGCTAACAACACATTTTGGGACTTTTGGTTCGATTGTAGAGAAGAAAGGCCTCAATTTATGGGGGGAAATGTAGAATTAAAAGGGTTGTTTTTTGTTTTTGTTTTTTTTGAAGTGTAGAATTAAAATTTAAGAACAATTTATAGAACTTTTTATCTTAATATTATAATTCTTTTCAGTTCTGTAACTTTTTCGGGGAAATAAAATTTACATACGTGTGTTTTAACAAGGTTTAGAGAGTTTTTTTATTTGACCCACCATTGTCGGTGGAAAGGACAATTGCCTGCATGTGCTACTCACTCTCCCCAAGGAATGCGCTGCTATTTTTTGGGATTGTCTCATGAATGACTACTAATATAAGGTTAATATATAATATTACTAGATGTATTAAAAGATATTTAATAAATTTGGTTTAGTGCTACTTATTATGTTGACAGACTAATAATATTTTAGGTAGAAAACATGAAAAATTATTAAAAAAAATTGATAACCGATAAACTTTGATTATCGGTAAGTATCGATGCATATATATAAGTGTCTATACTTATTTCACTATGAAAAACATTAATTTAAGGTTATCTTTTGAGTGAGTTTTAAAATATTAATTTAGTAATTATACGCGTCTAATGATTTATTTTTTATGTTACAGTATATATTATTATTAAATTAAAAACAATAAACATAGATATTACATATTTATTATTATATTTGATTAAAATTGTTAAATTTAAATTCTAAATAATATTTTATAAAATATCAAAACAATCAAATAATTTTTTGTGTAAATTAAATTATTAAATTAATATTGTAGGTGGAAAACATGAAACACTATTAAAAAATTTTGAAACATAAATTATATAACTTTCAAAAAAGTATCGATTCTTTTTACAAAAAGTATCTATACTTTTAACATATTAGGTAAATTTTACCGATTTTTTCATAATAAAACTAGTTTTGTCATTTTTTACCTGTTATATTGTAAAGTATCTATCCTTTTTATAAAAGGATCGATACTTTCAATATATCAGGTAAAGCGCTACTGGTTTTGTTATTTTTTTACCGATTTTGTTATTTTTTTTACCTGTTATATTGTAAAGTATCGATCCTTTTTATAAAAGGATCAATACTTTCAATATATTAGGTAAAGCGCTACCGATTTTGTTATTTTTTTACCGGTTTTGTTATTTTTTTACCGGTTTTACCAGAAATGTTAAAAAAACATTGATGTTTTAGGTAGAAATAATAATTTTTAGGTAATTTTTACTCGTTTTGTTATGCCCAACAATAACAAAACCGGTAAAAATAGACTTTTTAATAATAAAATTAGTAAACACAAATTATACAAATTGTTAAATTTAAATTCTAAATAATATTTTATAAAATATCAAAATAATTAAATATTTTTTTGTGTAAATGAAATTATTAAATTAATATTGTAGGTGGAAAACATGAAATACTATTAAAATTTTTTGAAACATAAATTACATAACTTTCAAAAAAGTATCAACCCTTTTTACAAAAAGTATTTATACTTTCAACATATCAGGTAAATTTTACCGGTTTTGTCATAATAAAACTGGTTTTGTCATATATTTACCTGTTATATTGTAAAGTATCTATCCTTTTTATAAAAGGATCGATATTTTCAATATGCCAGGTAAAGCGTTACCGGTTTTGTTATTTTTTACCGGTTTTATTATTTTTTTACATGTTATATTGTAAAGTATCGATACTTTTTATAAAAGGATCGATACTTTCAATATATTAGGTAAAGCGCTACCGGTTTTGTTATTTTTTTTACCGGTTTTGTTATTTTTTTACCTAATATATTGTAAAGTATCGATCTTTTTTATAAAAAGATCGATACTTTCAATATATTAGGTAAATCGCTACCGGTTTTGTTATTTTTTTTACTGGTTTTACCGAAAATGTTAAAAAACATTGATGTTTTAGGTATAAATAATAATTTTTAGGTATTTTTACGGATTTTTTATGCCCAACAATAACAAAATCGGTAAAAATAGACTTTTTAATAATAAAATTAGTAAACACAAATTATACAAATTAATTTTAATTTTTTAGTTTGTAAGGTGCCACAATATAACTAATGAAAAAAGGACACGGTATTTCTATTTCGATATTAGCTTTCTAATAATAAAATAAAAAATAAAAAATTATATACAATTACAATATAATTTTAAAAAATAATCATAATGAAGTGATGAAAAATAATCATAATTATAATATAACTATAAGCATCAAATACAATAAAATAATATTATTTATTAACAAAATAATAATATTATTTTTAAAATATTAGAATAATTTATTTAATATTATTTATGTCAATACTATTATTAAAATATTATATCTATAATTTTATAAATAAAAAATTATGATTATTATATTTTATTAAAATAAATTTACAATGTTACCGGTATAAATATACCGATTTTATGATAGAATAAGTCAATATAAGTATTACCTATTACATTATATAAGCACTGCCTAATATGTTATTGTGCTTGATAATGTTTCCAGTAATTAACCTATTTTATTATATAAGCGCTACCTATTACATTATATAAACGCTACCTAATATGTTATTGTTTATATAAGCGCTACCTATTACATTATATAAGCGCTACCTAATTTGTTATTTTACTTGATAATATTTCTGGTTGAATGATATATCATAACCGATCTAAATTTTAACTGGTCACACCATTTTTTAACCGACGCACAGCAGAACTACCCCTATTTTCTAGCTTTCATTGGGTTCTGTTTTACTTTTTCGGTGGATTTTATCTACCCTCCTTGTAATTTAATATTATCTCAGAAGATATCATTTTTAAAATGTTAAATTATGTGATATATTGTAAAAAATAGTAAAATTATTTTAGATATCAATGAAACGATATATTAATTAGTTTATATTATTAAATTTTTTATTTTATCAATTATAATATTTAATTTTGATCTTACATTTTAATTATATCGTCTCACTCTTAAATCACTAACAATACTATGATATGAGTATTCACTAATGATTGTTAAAGTGATATACCACACCAAACAACGTGGTTTTGACGGTACACAACGTGCTAAGAGGAAGTTTCTTCTCTAGCTTTATTTGAGAAGTAGTTAAGTTTTAGTCTGAGGCAAAGATAAATATTTAGATAGTAGATTTTATCTAAATTAGTTTCTAGTTCGTAAAACTAATTGAGAGGCATATCTCGTTTTTACTGACTATACAGTTAGGGTTGTAAATGAGACGAAATAGATCGTCAGCTAATTGAGATCGACTCGGTCAAGGCTCAATAAATACTCGGATCGAATAGACTCGAGCTCGACTTGAATTCTTAACGACCCAAAACAAGCTACTTAATACTCGACTCGAAAAGATCGTGAGCGACTCAAAAAGCTCGTGAGTAGCTCAAAAATATAATATATTAAGATTTTATTTTTTTTAAATAAATTATTAATAATATTAACATTAATATGTTGATTTTTTTTAAATACAATAAGGATTTCATGTATTTATGGTTCAGGTTCGATTTTGAGTTTCAGGATTTAATGTAGTTAAGTTTAAGATTTTTTTTCATTTTAAGCCTTTTCGAGCTGGTCACGACTTTCAATTCAGGATTTCGAGTTTGATTCGAGCTTACAAATTTTAAGCTCGCGAGTTTTCGAGTCGAGTCGAGTTTCATTTCAGAGTTTTCGAGTCGAGTCGAGCTCAACGATACTCGAACTCAACTCGACTTATTTACACCCCTATACATAGTGATCATTAACGTTGCATATGTAACTTATCGAAGTCATCAGTCGAAGGAGTAGTTGGGGGCCCCTTTTATCATTATAGGTTTAATAATTTTAACCAAAGATAATAATAAATAATCACTGTCCCAGCCTCTCCTGCTTCCATCTCTCAACTTCTGGGCCGATACACCTCGAGTCTGCCCCATCCTAGAACTGTTTGTAATTAGCTATTAGCTAAGGCATGTGTGCCTCATTTCCATTCAAAATAAAAACAAATAATAACCAAAAAATTTTGGGTAAAGTACGTAAAATAAGGCATTGATTTATTGAATCATCCGACAATTAAAAGTTAGGAAATGATCATATGATTATAAAATGTCGTTTTGTTGAGTCTTTTCACTATTAAAAGTAACAAAATGGTCATTCAAATATACATATGTTTCAAACTCGTCATTTTCCGTTAGTAAATTGATGATCGTCTAAGTTGGACATTAACATGCTGACTTGAATATGATAGTCGTTTGAGATTCTAAGATCATATTGTATTATATCATAGTCATTAGATTAAACATCCAGCTTGGACTAACGTCAATCATTTAATGAAAAAAGACGAATTTAAAATATATGAATAGTCGGATGACTGTTTTATAACTTTTAATAACTGAATGACTTAACAAAACATCTTATAGTTAAGAGGTTATTTTATAACTTTTAATTATCGACAAGCTCAACAAATCAACACTATATAATTGAAATGATTTCAGTATTCTAACCCTTTGGGCCAACAAACAAAGGAAACCCAAATTTCTTTTATTACGACTACACAAAACTGTTTTTTCACTAGAAGCACAAACCAGAAGAATCAGAGCATCAAAACACCATCCATTAGTATTCTCGACATTACATCCAGCATCACCAAGTAAGCCAGAGCCACCCTGATAGCATACATGAGCGTCCGCAAAAGCCCCGCCACGACGTGGTTGGTGACCTGTTTGATAAACCTAGTGTGGGAAAGTCGTTCCACCATCAATGAAAGAAGAAACACCCAAATTAACTCTAACAAATAAGAGTAGAAGCTTCGACCGGACCATCCTGGGAATATGTCCTCTGTATCTTTGCCCCAATACAACGTCATGTGTCCCCTCATTATGATCTTGGTTTTGCTTAGTTGCATGGCTCTTGCTGGACTTGTCGAAAGCAATATACATAAGAAGGGAATTGCAGACGAAATTAGCCGCCCATGATGGGTTGATTGTACTTGTAGAGGTTTCATTTTCTGTACTACCATCAGTCTTTGTACACTAGAAAGTGCTCCACTAAGTAATCATTGTTCAGCTTAAAGGAGAAAAATGGAGTGCACTAATCACTTTTAAAAGTAACACTAGAGATGAAATTTAAATGTATTTAGTGGCCCCGCACTTTCCTGTGTCGCTTTTGTGGGTGGGACAAAATATGAAAGCTCCGCTGTTCATAACCCAAAACTGAGTCCGTCTTTTCAAACTAAATCATCTGCTCCATGAACCCCTGATCGGTGCAATTTTCTTGCTTGCTACAGATCTGATATATTAATGAAACTGAAGTTTTGAATAATATGGATTATATTAAATTAAGGTGATGTATCAAAGGTGAGGGAAGACTGTTTTATTTCCTGCAATTTGTATATAAAATAGAGACATACACGTCTTGATCAACCACCTAATAACCTACCTAAACAGTTGTAGTTTTGTATGAAAACCGTCAACAAACAGGTCGTGATTTTGATGTCAAAATCAAAACAAGCGGACGGCTCAAACTAATTAAACAACTGCAATGGTATATCTAAAACAAGGTTATTAGCTGCCTACGTATATATATATATATATATATATGTCTCTCTCCTGCTTCTTGCCACCTTGAAGAAGGACAGATCCTTTTGCTTTAAAGTGGTTGAGGGCTGCATTTCGCCTTAGATGGTGAAGCTGTCAGATAGTGAACTCTATCAATGTTTGTAATGATGTGGTGGGGTTTGCACGGGCACCATGGAGGTACGCCCATGGGGGTTTGGCTGTTATATTTGTACTACACTTTAGGTATCTGTAACACCGACACATCTTCACCTCTAAAGACAAGAGAAAAGCTACTTTTGGGGTTATGATCAAGTGAAGAGGTCCAGCTGCGGTGTTGTTGACAGCCATTGAACTGTTAAAAGCTCATGAAACGGTACTAGTTCACTTCATGCACTGCTTGGCAACGGTTATAATCAAGATCCACTTATACTCGAACACGGTTCATTAAACATAACATAACACCAGAGACTTGCCTGCATGTTGTAGGCTTGTACCGCCGGTTGGGAGACTGAATTCTCCTTACACTTGTCTCCAAGATTTGACAGATTGAAACGAATCTGCATTTCACATTGCAGCCAAGAGCTTTGGGAAATGGTTGTGAAGATCAAAACCAATGAAATGAACAAGCTTTTGAATGCTAAGGACCATGACATCGGCAACACAATTTTACGCATCACAGCAGCTCAGTAGCAATTTCATGTAAGATTTCTCTATTTTATCATGTTTATAACACAAGCCTGAAGGTAACGGGTTTCTTTATCTTGGAAAATATACATGACCTGCAATTGTTTAACTTATCATCCAATTTTCTTGAAAGAGTTAATTACTGTTCTAAACATAATCTATAATATCGTAAACGGGGAAGAGTGAACATGTGAATTAGCAAAAAGATTACTCTTTTATTTTCTACATAGCAATGTTGACATCTTCACACAGTACTTTAATTACACAAACATAAGATTCACAGTCCGAAACTCTCATCTCCGACAAAGACAAAAGCCGCTTATTACGTTCAAACAGAGTAATCTGCGGTTATAACATCCAAGTTTAAGATTTTAGCCAGAAATATCAATAGCCTTAACGTCAGGCTTTTTCACTTCCATCTTCGGAACAGTGATGGTAAGCACACCTTTTTCCATGGCAGCTTTAATATTTAATATTAAAATAGATTTGAAACGTTTATACGTCTATGATGTTTAGTTTGTATGTGTGAATTTTAGTAAGTAAAATACAGTTATAAATATAGAATTTAGTTTTATGTTTTGATAACGTTATATTTTATTAGAGTACATATAAATTTTTATTTAAGCTGTTTGAATATGATACAATATTAAACTGTTTTGTTGTTGTCTAAAATCGAATATGATTTTAATGTTAATTTTTTTTTTGATTTTATGAGATTAAATTTTTTTAATGTTTGATGTTAAAAATGAGTGATTTTAAGAGAAATTAAAATTTTACCGATTTTCGAAATAAGAATTGTTTTTAAAAGTTTTATATGATATTTCTGTTCGATAATAAATACGAAAAATGAGTATTATAGGATATTAATATATTAAATTTATCTAAAAAAATATCAATCAAAATAAACTCAACCAATTATACTAATTTAATTTATTTTCACTTACAAATCGAAGAATATAAACGTCTAAGCATGATCAGTCTGGATTAATCAATGCTAAACCTTAAGAATGAAAAATACCTCAAATAGTAATATAGAAAATTTATACATTGAGCCAACTTGATATCTTAACACAAATTCTTACAATTCACAGCAATCCACATACTCGGGAAGTCTTTGTAGGATACAACTAAGAAAACGGAAAAATTGATGGTTTAATTACTATTTTTCTCTCTCTCCAATAAAATAAGTAGGAATATAATGTAACGAAATTTGAAGAAGAAGAAAACTCTTCTCCTACTTAAGCTCCTAAAAAGCCTGAGGAAAAGAAACCATCGCCTCAGGTTCTCTAATTTTCCTTCATGCATCACAAAAATCATTTTTTTTACTTTAACATCTAACTTCTGATGCTAAATTCTCTATAATCCTTGATATCAACGATCAGCAACAAGTTATGTGTTTCAATCCCATTATAGTTCAACTTCTTCTTTATTACATCTTCTGAAGAATTGGATTATCTTTATGAAAAAAAAACAACTTTTTTCTCTTTTTATCAAATTACCAGGAAAAAATTGTTTCTTTCTAATTAGAAGAATTATAATCAAAATCCAATGAGAAGTTTATTCACGATCGGCCTAATTGCAGCATGGTACTCCTCGAACATTGGGGTCTTGTTATTGAACAAGTTCTTGCTAAGCAATTACGGGTTCAAGTACCCGATTTTCCTCACGTTATGCCACATGTTGGCTTGTTCTTTGCTGAGCTACATCGCTGTTGAATGGCTCAAAATAGCTCCTCTGCAAAGGGTAAGGTCGCGGTTGCAGATGCTGAAGATATCCGCCTTGGGGATCATCTTTTGTTTATCCGTTGTCGGTGGGAACATTTCACTTAGATTCCTTCCGGTTTCGTTCAACCAGGCCGTGGGCGCCACCACGCCATTCTTCACGGCGGTTTTCGCGGTCGTGATGACCTACAAGAGAGAAGGTTGGGTTACGTATGTAACCCTTATCCCTGTTATTGCAGGTGTAATTATTGCCAGCGGGGTAAGCCTTTAAGATTTTGATCAATACTTGGATTTGTTTACGTAAATTTTCATAAGACCTGCCATTAACCGGTTGTTGATTTGGTTCTGGTGGAAATGCATGGATGAAGGGAGAACCATTGTTTCATCTGTTTGGATTTATAATGTGCATTGGTGCCACTGCTGCAAGGGCTCTTAAATCAGTGCTTCAAGGGATTTTGCTTTCTTCCGAAGGGTAAGGGACCTACATTGATGTGTTTACCATTCTTTTGAAATGCAGCCGACAATAGTAGTTTATTTTATTAGGGAAAAGCTCAACTCCATGAACTTGCTGATGAACATGGCACCTATAGCTGTCATAGTCCTTATCCCAGCAGCTATTTACATGGAACAAGGTGTGATTGGAATCACTGTTGCACTTGCAAGAGATGATTGGAAGTTCCTATTGTATCTCCTCTTCAATTCTGCCCTTGCATATTTTGTCAACTTGGCTAATTTCTTGGTCACCAAGCATACCAGTCCCTTGACTCTCCAGGTATGATTACTTTGCTGCAATTACGAGTAAGCGTAATCCTAAGCATGGTGGTTGTTTCAGGTGTTAGGAAATGCGAAAGGGGCGGTGGCTGTGGTTATATCGATCTTGATATTCAAAAACCCGGTATCAGTTGCAGGGATGCTCGGGTACTCTCTCACGGTAGCAGGGGTGGTTCTCTACACTGAAGCCAAGAAAGGCAATATGTAAAATAAGGGCATTTAGCAGGGAACACCAATTCCACCAAATGTTGTGCGTGTGTGTGTTTTAGTGTGGGATGAGGCTGTTGAAACAAGTATCAATTCAGGCTATGTTAAGTTGTCCCTCTTTTTGCAGAGATAACAAGTAGGAGAATTGCAGTTTTGTTGAACATACATGTCTTCTCTTCTTTTATGGAAAATTTGGCAGAATTTTCTTACTGGATTTACCTTTCCTTAGACCATCTTTCTCTCTCTCTCTCTCTCTCTCTCTCTCTCTCTCTCTCTCTCTCTCTCTCTCTCTCTCTCTCTCTATACAAACACAACACTAAATAAATAAAGCATGAACGAGAAAAGACATTATAAAAATTAACATAGTCCACGTGGACTACAATTTAATATTCTTATTGGGCTCTAAGTCAACTTGTGTATGTCCGGTGAGAGAGTTATACTATATAAGAATCTACAAATCTACCTATAATGTTTGTGAAGTTGTCAAAACTCTACCATGTAGAAAATAAAAGAGTGGTCTTGTTTATTCACAAAGTTTTTACATTTGTGCTTATTTTACTCCTTTCTGATGCACAGAGACCACTGCAGTTTTATAAGTGTACCATTCGGCCATGCCCAGAAAAACCACAGAATTAGCCACGCTTAGAGCAGCCAATACCTAAAAGAAGTAATCTTACATGAGTGAGATTAAGGTTGTCGGGTATAACGATGGTAACAAGCAGAGAGTAGCTTCCTTTAATCTGTTTTCTCTTTTGCTTGTTATAGGAGGATGAACAAAGTTTTTTTTTTTAATTTCATTTTAGAGATTGATTGGGACTTAATTGATATTGTGAATTTGAATATGCATAATCTTTTAAATTATGATTGTGTAAATCCGGGTAATTAAGGCATGATATTAAAGATATATATGAATTAAAATGCACATTGTGCTATAATTATACAACATTTTTCATTTATATTCCATTACATAATTCGATGCCAGAGGCATTCGATAAGAAACATTAGTCTTCTTGGCTTATCCTTTCTCTTCCCAAAATTCAAACAACACGAAAATGGCGACTTCAGCTGTAACAATCTCCTCTTCATTTTCCTTCTTCTCTTCCTCCCTTTTCCTCTCTTCTCCCTCCAAAAAGTCCCAACTTTCGTTTCCCTCTCTTCCAAATCCTCTTCTTCAAAACCCACTCTTCCCATTTCTTCCAAGCTTTCCACTCTCCCCATTTTATCCTTCACCGGCGAAAAAGTCGGCGAAACCAATTTCGACCTCAAGTCCGCTCCACCTGAAACCGCCTGAGCCGTCATTCACCGAGCAATCATCACCGACCTACAAAAAACAAGCGTCACGGCACCGCCTCCACTCTCACCCGCAGCGAAGTTCGTGGTGGCGGGAAAAAGCCCTACCCCCAGAAGAAAACCGGACGGGCACGTCGTGGGTCTATGCGTAGTCCGCTCCGTCCCGGAGGTGGTGTTATATTTGGACCTAAAACCAGAGACTGGTCCATTAAAATCAACAAGAAGGAGAAAAGGTCGGCGATTTCGACGGCATTGTCCAGTTCGACTGAGAACACGATAGTCGTGCAAGATTTCGGAGATGAATTCGAGAAGCCGAAGACCAAAGATTTCATCGAGGCGTTGAAGGGATGGGGATTGGACCCGAAGCAGAAATCTATGTTTTTGATGATGGATGTGCCGGAAAAAGTTGATAAATCAAGTCGGAATATCGGGACTTTGAGAATGTTGACGCCGAGGACTCATAATCTATTCGACATTTTGAATTGCGAGAATCTGGTGCTGACACTGGATACGGTGGACTATCTGAATGGAAGGTATGGAGAAGAGTACGAAGCCGATGCTGAGGAAGAAGAAGAAGCTGAAGGTAAATCTCTATTCAATTAATATTATTAGAGAATTGTTGTTAGTAATGGTGCTATCATTGTCATCTTTATATGAACTTTTAGGAGATGATGGGTGGGGTAGAAGAAGATGCATTTAGACATGTTTAGTTTCATTAGAATGTTATTTTAGAAGGACTCGCAATCGGAAATGCAATGCAGATGCTGTGTAGAAATTATCTCTGTAGGTAGTTTAAGTGTACATGCAAATCGTAAGATGCAAAGAGAGTATTAAGAATTTAAGATGCTTAAGAGCTAAGTTGGCGATGATGAATAAGGAATAATTGCTTGCCTGCATCAATGTTCCTTGATCAGTTTGTATTTGTTAGCCTGCATAGATGAGAGCTTGTGCTCGGAATTTTCCGTTTCATCCCTGAATCTATGGGTTCATATATTCCTGTAACCGAACAGAATGCTGCACTGTTCGGTAGAAAGTTCGATTAGTTAAGGAACGAATATGAACAATCTTGTTTGTTTAATTAAATGAACAAATCCGAACAAAGAGCTTGTAAGTTTATTCGTTCATTTATGTTCGTGAACATTAAGTAATCTGTTTGTTTACATTCACTAATTCATTCGTTTATATTCGTTTGATTAAATTTATATTTATGTTCGTTGATTTATATTTTTTAATATTTTTTGCTTGATTTAAAAGAAAGTTGCATTTTAGTTTTTTTTCGTTTATGGTTGTTTACGTTTGCTTGTGTTTATTTGCATTCGTTAACTATTTTAACAAATGAACACGAATAATCTACATTTATTAACATTTCTTGAACACAAACAAGAAATTTTATTTGTTTAGTTGTTTGTGTCAGTTATGTTTCTTGTGTTAATTTATTGACATTTTTAGACACAGACGAGAATGCCGATGTAGCGCAATGAGCTTTACTTTTTCCCTCGGTTAACCTACAAGCCATTTCGTATATGCTGAAGAAGTTCAATGCTTGGCCTAAATCAAACATTGTTGTAGGCTAGTGTGAGCACCATTTTTTAATCACACACATTTCTTGCCCATGCCCTTTAATCAAATCCCATCCTGTGCCCATGCCTCCACAGATTCCGATCCTGCTCCACGCCAAAGCTGCTGCCCATGCCCTCCAACACATCCACCAACAACAATTTTTTTTACATATGTAATGGGTTATAAAAACCCCAAATCAGTGTAATGGAGGGGGATTTTTTTATCAAGAACCGAATTTTCTCAGTAATAAAAAAAGAGTCAGATTATTTCTCAAGCAAAAGGTATTCTAGTTTTTTTCATTCTTGATACATTTGCTAAGTTATTAGAATGTAAAAAACATAGTTAAATTCGTAGTTTAGTTTTCTGTTTATGCAAATTTTACGATTAAAAAAAATAAATAAGAGTAGAGATTTAGAGTTAACCTTGCTGCCGCCGGAGTGTTTTGTTGAGACCGGAGCGTCGTCAGTCTAAGGCCCCACGGTGGGTGCCGCCGTTCTTGTTGAAGAGGGGGAAAGAGGAGCTAAAAAAATATTTTTAGGTTTGGTTTTGGATTTCACGGGCAGAAACGAAGCAGGGGGAGAATTTTAACTTGTTCTAATTTTTGGGTTAATCCCGCTAGGGTCCCTACCCCTTTAGCGTGATTTTGCGTTTTGGTCACTATATCGTGGGTTAATTTCCCACAGGTCCCTGTACTTTAGAAATTTTGTGTCCAGGTCACTAAGGTAGGGTCTAATTCAGTTTTTGGTCATCTGTTTTAGCCTGTTATGCGTTTTAGCCATCTGTCTAAGGAAAAATCATATGTAGGTTCCCCTGAGTTTAGTTTTTCGCATTTTGGTCACCTACAGTGGTTATTTTGTTTTTTTTCAATTTGATTGGGCTGATTCTATAATTTTTTTATTTTTATTTAATTTAGACTTGAAAATGAATGATTGTTATTTAGCCCCTATACTTTTAGTGTGTTTTAAAATTTTAGTCACTAACTTTTTTTTTATTTTGTTTCATTTTAGTTGTTTAATTTAAAATTTATTTTAATCTAGTCCTTATGTTTATGTTTAAGTTTATTTTATTTTTACTGTTTTTTATTATTTGTTGTTTTATTTTTTTAATTAAGTTTGTTATTTGTTTTGATTACTTCATAGTTTAAATTCTTAAATTTAATTTTAAATTAGATTAATGTTTGAATCAAACTTAGAAATTAAGATTTCACATTAGTTTTAATTAGGGAGTAATTTGAGTCGAATTTTCACATAAGATGCTCGATTACTCGAATCGATTGCTCAACTTTTAAAATATATTAATAATTAATATTTTCTAAAAATTATTTTAGGTTTAATAATTTAGATAATAATTAGGTATTTAGTTTAGAATTAATCATTGACTTTAGAAATTTTCGATTTAGATCCCTAGACTTTTAAATCTTTTAGAACTTGATACTTTAGACTTTGACCATTTTAATCCCCGAACTTCAATTAGACTTTTAATATTGACATAATTAAATAGGTTAAATAGAGCCTCCATTTTAGCTTAGATTTCAAACTAGTCTTTTAATTTAGGGGATAATTCGAGTTAGCCCTCACGTAAACGCTCGAGGGGCCATCTCGGTTATTCGATTCAATAATTAATTAAAATCAAATAGGATAAATAGTAGAGCCTACATTTTTAGACTTGAGCCCCCTAGGTTTCTTAATTTTCATAATTTGACACTTTAAGCTAGAAAGCCTTAATTTACTTTTAGTTATGAATAAAATTTTGTTTGATTGCATTTTATTTTAACACTAAGGCGCTGTTCACTTATTTAAGTAATTAATAGTATATATCCCGCGATCACGCTTAGGGGATGACTACTGATGATTCCCTAAACAAGTCGACATCTTTTTCAAAACCGCATCATGTTTTCTAAAAACGAGGCAATGTTCGGTTATTAGGCACAATAGTTGATCTCCCGCATTTACGCTCGGGGGCAATGCTATCGGTCTCAATAAACGAATACCCTTTTCAACTTTGCATCCTTAATGATTTTTATATTAAATAAAGATTGAACTCAAAATTTTCGATTTTAAATATAGGATAATCAATTAGGTACCAAGTTTTGGATGCTTGTGGGGTGCTAATCCTTCCCCACGCGTAACCGACTCCCGAACCTGATTTCTGGATTTTCGTAGACCCCAAAACTCGATATTTTGATAAATATAAAATGTTGTATTAAAATCATCCAGTTTTTATGGTGCCTCGATCGCACCTTAAATAATTGGTGGCGACTCCTCACATTTGATAAATATTTTCAAAGAGAAAACCCCCGAGTCAATATCTGTCTTTTCCCTCCCGGGCGAAAAACGGTGTCGACAACTAGTTTTGGTG